CCGTACATCCAATATTGAAACAGGTTCAGTTTCGTACACCTTTTGCTTCAAATAACCCCATAAAAAAGTCCGAACTGGTCAAATCTGGCGACCTACATAAATCAAGCAACTCGGTTTATGTAGGTCTCCTATCTTGAATTTATGAGTTTAACATCCCCTGGAATTTTTAGCGTGGAATTTCAAAAGTTGGCATCTAGGTTCGCCCAAGTACCTGTTTCTCAAATACCTGTCCTTGCAGCATACCTGAAAAGTCTAATATAACCGATATTTCAAACTTCAGATTTCAGTTTCATACTTGATAATGGGGTGAAACCCGAAACCGGTCGTATAAATAAAATCTACCAGTAGTACCTATTTAGACAAAAGTGTTTTTTATTCATTTCATTTGAGACAACTGCAGATACTGGAATAGCATAAATCCCCATTTTTACAGGGAAAGACATCAACAAGCTTACCAGAAATTGAATGTTTGGACTGGTATTCTGTGAGACCATGTTGTAGGTCCATATTTTATTCATGGTAATCTCAACGGGCAAATGTATTTTGAACTTCATGATACACTTGTGAACCTCAGAATCACTCAGTTACTTGAAGGTCAGCTCACTTTTCAACAAGATGGGGCTACTCCTCATTTTGTTGCACCTGTACCTACGTCAATTTTCAGATGAGAATTTCACAGGGAGATGGATTAGAAGGCGTGAACCAGTAGAATGGCCGGCTAGATCTCATGATTTATCACCATTAAACTTCTTGTTATGGGATTATTTGAAATCTGAAGTTTATATCACACAGAGAAATTCTCTTGATGATCTACGTACGAGAATTGTTGTAGAGCAACGATTCTCAAACTTTTCTTTACACGTACCACTTATATAAATTCTGCGTCGATCGCGTACCACATATTAGAAAAGTAGATAATAAAATTCACTAATTTTAGTAAAAAATGTATTTATTCAAAAAAGGGCATTATAATTGTTACAAAATAAGAATTNTTCAGTACACCGATTTATTTGGGATTGAATTTTCTTCAAAATGATGTATCACAAGTATATCAAAATGATGTATCACAAGTAGTATAGCAGTTTTATCTTCCTCTTGAAGATGATCACTTGGTGATCGAAACACGTGTCTAGGTGTGAAAATAACGATTTGTTGTTGGGGAAAATATTCATTACTACACCAAAGGTTCCAAACAGTACATCAGAAGTATATAGTAGTCCCATTTAAAATTTTGAAGTAGGGGGTGCTGGAAATGAGGGGTTGACAATACAATGATGATATAATTGGTAAAATTTCCCCTGGAAATAAAAATCGACGGGTCCGAGCGATTTTAATTTTTTTTCACGAGTTCGCAGATTAGGGGGGTGACAAGTTTTAGCCGGGACACACTGTATGTTCTCTCCTGGAAGTCACGCAACTAAGATTCAGAAATTTGTTATCTAAAAAAACGAGGTATTAAGCCAAAGTTCATAATGAACTAAAGATAACTCCTTCTTTAATAATCATTCCAAGAAACTATAAGTCAGTTATTATATTTGATAATATTCATTTAGCAATCAAAATTCACTCATAACTATATTAAATCGCCCAATATTTATTCTCTGGTAGATGTAATATTACTGTGGGATAAGTTGAAAGTTATTTTGTTTTTTATTTAATCAAGAAACTGTATCGGATCATTGTTGTGTACACGAAATTTATATATCTTATTATGTAAGATGTATTATGTAAGACATGCAAAGTGAATTTCATATCTATGTCCTGCTTTATTTACTTTCTGTTCATTGTTTATTACAGCTGGGAAAAATTCATAAAACGGAATGAACCCAAACTGTGAATAGTGACTTACTTATCTTGTGATAACGTGAAGTGTCCTGTTTGCATTGAAATGGAAGATTTTCTCACATATGAACCGGTTTATTCCAATGAGCAACTTAATCTCATTGGACAAGAATTTACTAGAATGAAAGGTAAGTTCATAAAACTAAGACTGATGGGTAATAGCCCGTTGTATATAATTATCAGAACACACGTTTATCAGCTGTTTATGTATCTACGTCATTACAAATATGCCCTCCATTAAATTTTCAAAGTGATCCGTTGTCTGGTTCACCAGAAACGTCTAATGTGCCATCCACCGTGAATCAGCCTGTATACCATACGTTATATAACTTCAAGGAAAAACTGAAACTGCACTTGAAATCAGCTGTATAGTTCAATTGGATACCGTTAATACTCTCTTTTGTGGTATGTTATTGCAGTTTATCATTTATTTTTCAATTTTTTGTATAACTTTCAAATATCCTATCATATTATTATAATTGTCTTTTTAACTAGGTTAAGTTGAAAAACAGCTTAAGCTGAACTTCGCCTTTCATCATTATTTTTGCTTTTGTATATTATTATGTTGATGAATAAAGCCGATTATTTCATCTCCTTCTTGTACCTAAGAGAGTACTGCTCTCCAGTATAACCGCCTTGCCGCTGTCTTATGGTTCAGAGAGCACGTCAAGCAGAATCTCCTCATTTCCAACTTTCAACCGTTTTTCCTTATGTCCATCACGAATCCATAGAGGGGCATGATGTCTAGTCTCGAAATGAATTCATCAACGGTGTTGGCCACTAATGCCTTACTTTGTATTTCGCAATTTCCAAGCCTGAGTCAAACTTCTGCTTCTCCATAGACCGTCAATCTATTTCCAGTGGCTGTTTACAAAACGGGTACTACTAACAACTCCTTGAACTGCTTCTGTTGGAAATATTGACTCTCATTACAGAACTCGTTGCTCCAATATCGATGGAGAAAAAGCCCTGGTAATTATTCAGGAATCCATCGACAACTAAGCTGTTACTATTGAGTCATATCATGGAAATAGAATACCTGAGGGTTTGAGATGCAGAATTGTAGAATTGAAATGTAGAATTACTCTAGAACATATCAGTCCAAAAATAATCTGAATAAATATTTTTCGGAATGTGAACTAATGACACGGAATATGCAGCAAAATAGGTACCCGCCGAAACGTACCTTTTACAAAAAAAACGTTCTGTAATTATACAGGGTGTTCCTTAAACATATGCTGATATTTAAGGAGGTAATTCTTAGACCCATTTTAAGAAAAAAACTTCCTATGTACGTATGTCCTAAACGCCTTAACTTTTGAGATACAGGGTGGCAAAGTTTTCAAAAATAATCAGTTTTTTAATAATAACTGAGATAATTTTGTAGACATCTTTGGCATATTTGGTACATATGTTCCATGCCTCAAGGCGCATTTTCTGATGTACACAAATTTGTATTTTTTCAAACAGTGGCATCCCTACGGGTTTCGCATTGAATATTTTTGGGGAAAAAGTACTACGCCAATGCTTTCTTTTCAAAATAAAATCATTTTTAAAATCCTCAT